AAAAAAAAATCTTGGAGAGGAGAGGGAAGAGAAGTCAATTATATTATTTTTTCTTTTAATTTTTTTATTTATCCAAATAAGGGGAGGAAAATGGAGAAAAAGAAAAAAATAATTTTTTAACTTGTCCAAATAAAGGGAGAGAAATGAAAAGATACCACATCCTTCCATTCACCTCCCCTCTCTTCTTATCTATTTCTCTCAAATCAAATATACTCTAAACTTATAATATTTCTCCACCATGTCCCTCCTCTTATGTTCCTAGAAAAACCTTAGACTACTACCTTAATGGTACCTAAAATTGATCTAAAATAATCATTTTAATCATCAATATCTATTTTTTATTTAGGTCAAATATTGAAACTTTATCTCTCATAATTTCTTAAGTCAAATTTTATCCAAAAATCAAACTAATATAACTCAAACAGGCCTGAAGGAAGTAATATTTTAGATACAGGTTTGATTTAGGTATTTATAAATTTGACTTTCTCATTTCGAATCCTTGCTTCGCCTGTGTTTATACCATCTTTGTACTAGTACATAGAAAGTGATGCTCCATTTCCTTTGCAAATTGCAACCCCCTCTCCCATCACCATGGCCCATTAATGAACTCGCCTGGGCTATCATCTTTAATCTACAAGATAGACGAAAAAGATGTTTATGGGCTGTTCTGGATTGGGCGTAGAAGAAATTTAACTTTAGCCCATAACTCATTTTGGGTTTCTGAAATTGTAACAAAAATGCTAAGCTGTTGAGAGTGGGATTTGAACCCACGCCCTTTCGGACCAGAACCTTAATCTGGCGCCTTAGACCAACTCGGCCATCTCAACTTACTGATATACAAGTTAAAAATATTAGATTTATAATGAAACTTCTTAAAGCAAATCTAGCTAGAAAGTTGGGCCAGTGAGTCAACCCTAAGATTATAAGTTAGCCATAGGTTTTTCATTTCCTCTTCCCTTAGAACAGTTACAAAATAATTGTAATGTAATTAATTGTCCACTATAAGAAATTTAAAAAAATTACAAAGTTATGTAATAAAGCATACTATTTTACAATTCAAAATAATTCAAATTATAAAACACTTTTTCATATGTATTATATCACCAAGTATTTACTTAGCATTCTTGCTAAACATGGAGTCAATTCTCTAGACTACATTCATCTACCACTTTGCCATGTCCCATCAAATATCATTATATGTTGTTTTAACCATTCCATTAGTTGATATACATCCACTCATTTATACATGATTGATATTAAGAAAACAATATGAAATAAATTAAGAAACGCATGGTAGATGGTAGGTACCATTTAGTAAAATGTAGTTTCATTCATGAGCTTACAATTGTCAGACCACAGATTTAAACTCATCCCTTTGAGGTGTAAAGAGATGCATCCACCACTTGGACTACAAACAAAAACACAAAGTTCTTAATCTCTCACAAGAATTCTTTGTTGACAAAAACTAAAAAAA